AGAAGATGGGCACAGGGATTTTTGATGACACATGCAGGTTTACCTACAGTGCAAAAGTGGCCTCTGGAGCATGTTGTTTAAGTACTGTAAAATTGTGACCATCAGTTTGGACCACCCTGTATAATAACACCAAATGTACTACCATTTGAAACCTAGTATCATATGGAAACAAAACTTGTTTATTGTATTACATCGGTTTGAATGGCATGTGATATCTTTTATGTCTGTAGTACTTTTCTATTTAACACTGTATGAATATATATATATTTTTTTTAAAGTACCAATATCACAATATCCTAAAAAGTTTACATACTACTCTTATGCAGATAAAAATATAAAATATATAATAAATATTATATATACATTGTACAATAAAGTTTAACAGTTGGATATTGGGTTACACGGATTATGCTTGAGGTATGTTATGACTTGAGATATTTACCACAAGCTAAAGAGTTCCTAAACAGCTCGTTGTTTCTTAATGAAGTACAAAAGTACCAAAATAGTAGAGAAAATACATACATGTAATGCCTATGCACACTACCTCTGACGACATGTATATCATATGTACATTGTTCATACATCTGTTTATCAGTTTTTCATTTTGATATATATATTGGGGAGAGATTCTCTATACAACATCCCCTCAAAAAAAGAAAATTTCATACAAATGTGTACAAATAATCATATTTACATATTAATGCAAACAAATAGTCTTATATGCATTGTATGCATATTCACAATTGTATTTAACTATTATGCCAAATTTCTTGGTTTTTGGCCCCTCAAAGATGAAAATATCACTTTTTGTATACCATAATCGCCATATTTAGCACCAGCCCCTTAATAAATGCACACCCTGCTTCACTAAGTTCAAGAACTATAATATAGAAATGACCAAGGAATAGTGAATATATGAGAAAAAAAATTCTGATGAATCTAGTGAGCAAATATAGAGTACTTTCACTAAACTGCTGTAAACGAGATGCATTTTGTAATTTGATGCATCCTCCCAACAAATATCTATCATTGGGTGCTTCCCACATCATGCTTTGAGCTAATACAGGGTGTTAAAAAAAAGCAACCCAAGGAAATCGCTATATCTTGGAAAATACTCATCCAATTATGTTTATATTTTCAGGAAAGAAAGAAGAGACTGTGTATGTATAGCCCCTGTTGTTAGTTGTAAAACATGATGTCTTTGACACTTGCTAAAAAGACAGTTGTACTAGCAAAATACGAAAAACGCGAATGGAAAATCACTATATCTTGGAAAATACTTATTCCAATATGTTCATTTTTTCAGGAAAAGAAAGAAGAGACTGTGTATGTATAGCTCCTGTTGTCATTAAGTTGTAAAACATGATGCCTTGGACACCTGCTCAAATGACAGTTGTTCTAGGAAAACATGAAAACGCAGTCAGAGGTGACAGCCCCAGCAATAAAATCAAATAACTTTCTAACCATGGTGTTTTGGCACCTCAGATTTGGCACAAATTATCCTCATTCAATGTGTGCTGAATTTGTGGAGTTCCATCAAAATCACTCTAGGGACTTTACAGTCATGGTCAAAATGCCTTCTTAAGTCTGCCTGAACCAGGGCGTTTGACTGCGATTTGAAAGCATTTCAACCATGACTGTAAAGTCCCTGAAGTGATTTTGATTTCACTCTACAGATTTACCATACAGTGAATTAAAATGATTTGTGCCAAATTTGAAGAGCCAAAACAAGATGGTTAGAAAGTTATTTAATATTTTTGAGGTTGCAGTCACACCTGACTGCGTTTTTCGTATTTTCCTAGTACAACTGTCTTTTGAGCAAGTGTCCAAGACATGATGTTTTACAACTAACCATTTACAGGAGCTATACATACGCAGTCTCTTCTTTATTTCCTGAAAATATGAACATTATTGAACCAGTATTTTTCAAGACATAGCGATTTCTTTGGGTTGCATTTTTTTTAACACCCTGTATTATCTCAAGATAGTCCATAATGAGTGAAGGAAATATTCAAGTTTTAAAATTGTCAACATGTCATGAGTTTTCTCGTTTCTTTTTTATATTTCTCTACTTTTACATGAAAAATGATGATCTATCATCAAATTGAAAAGATAAGGTATAACTTTAGATTGATATCAAACAGTCTCTAGTGCAAATACTGAACATAATCTGGGAAAATATTGCCTTCAACTTGCGGGCTTTGCTGGGGATTTCCTCAATAACTCAATATTGTCTAGTTACTAGATTCTTGCAAGACCTTAGTTTGCTTTATTTAAGCGATCTTTACCATAATTTGTCCAATAACAATACATATTATTATTGTAAAATTATGCTGTTACTTCATTTTGATGTTGCAAATAAGGCATTCTTGGCAGGAAAAATTGCCATACATGAAATTACCAGGGATTTTTGACTTCATTCATACATTGGCACTTATAAGAATGAATGTATTTCAATTTTCTTAGGCGCTAATTACAAAGAATATGGTCTTTGAAGGTAATTATCAGAAAGGATCACATACCCATATATTTTAGATTCATGCCTCTTGAAATTCATTATTGTCAATGTTCACTCCATTGCTTCAACCTCTTTTGCTACTAGAATATAATCCTCCTCTTTTAAGGCAGAAATGAATCGATATCTGTTGTTCCCTACCCTGTCTCGTCCAATACCACTGGGGGGTATCGTGATGCAACAACACCGTGTTGTTGCATCAAGATGGCCAGACTTCCGGTGATAGATTTTCGTACGATATGTTGTTTCCCCAATTTAAACCCATTTCTAGGACGAGTTTCTCAATAACCATACACGTGAAGTTAGCGCACGATCTATATTTAAAGAAACTGTCATTAGTATACATGTAGCATCATCAAGAATCAACAAGTTCACGGTTTTAGTTCCTCACTATTGATGCAACAACACCAAACCGAAGATGCAACAACACTCCTCAAGATTTGAGCAATGATGCAACAACACCAATTAATAGTATAATTTCAGAAGACCATAAATCTCGAGAGGAACAGATTTTTAAATGCTACTATTGCAACACCGGGCCAGTACCCATTTGCGTTCTTCTCAGGCATTCAAAATACACGTCCTGCGGGCGAAGATTCTTTATATGTTTTTTCAAAAATTTATACTTTTAAATATCATAATGCTGTAATGTACTGGAAGTTGTTTTATAACATAGTTCAATCGCCTTTAACATTGCAAGCTATAGTAACCCAATCTATTATCATAAACCCCTGTTCCATAGCTTGATGACCCTGATACCAATTAGTATCATTCAAAATGGTGGACAAACATCTTTCGTTCTCGATAAACACGACAAGCTATTGGAAATCTTGCACAGCGCATATGTAGAAGTATTGTTCTCTTTGGATTCGTTCTCCCCGATTGAGTAAAAAGGTAGGTAATAGGATTTAGGTCCCGAAAAGGTAAATTGATAGGGGTACAGTAATCCCAGATTCCCCCTGGGCCCTCGGGAAATATCATATTGTGTCCCGGAATAAAACCAATATTGAATCCCTCTCAGTAAATAACCTCTATATAATAGCATTGTATAACTGCAATATCATTAAACCAACACTCATCGGAAGTTATGGCGTTTTGAAAACTCAAAATCGCTAAATTTGGTGCCCCATGTTAAGTCAATGGGAAACAATTTTTTTTTGAAGTGTAAAATACGACATATATACGACCGAGTACAGCTTAATTTAATGAAAGCCTTTAAATGAAGGGTACCTCAAAAGCAATCTAGCTTTAAAATTTGGGCACAAAAATGTCAAGGTCAAAATCTAGGTCAAATTCAAAGTTTTCCTTATTTTGTGATTCTGACACTACACTTCAATTATATTCTTCGAAATTGTGTATACATGTAGCCAAGAGTGTACTAATAGTGTTAGCCTTTTGCCGTCAGAAAGTATTTTAACCCACTTTTGAGATATGGTGTCCAAAAGTAGGTCAAAATAAAAAATTCTCCAAAATTTCGATCCGACTTCCGGTTCGGAAGCTATGGCGTTTTGAAATTTCGAGAAAAATCGATCTGATGGTATCCTGATAGAAAGTCAAGAGTAGCGAAGAAAATGTTGAAAAATCCATCCATCCTTCCTATTCTACCATTATATCCTATAGTTCCTTCTTATTCTATCCTATCCTTCCTATCCTATCCCTTTTATCCCTATCCGTTCCTTCCTATCTATCCTTCATATCCTTTCCTTCCTATCTATCTATCCTTCCCATCCTTTCCTTGCTATTCTATCCTATCTTTCTTCTCTATTCCCTCCCATCGTTCCATCCTATTCTGTCCTATCCCTCCTTCCTATTTCATCCAGTTTACTCGGCTTAAAAAAGTCCAGATCTGGAGTCTGAAATTGAACTTGTTCAATTTCCAAAGTCTAGTTATATTAGTTCTTTGTAAACAATTTCCATACGATACGGTAAATCAAGGGGATTTAATTTAGAAATGAATCATCTTTATTTTTCAGATACAATATCAATGAGGTTTGCTCCCGGGGATTCAATACTTAGCCTATGTATTTAGTTTACTTTGTATATCCTTTTTACTTTGATAAAGACAAATACATTAAGGAACGAAACAAAATACGTTTCATTCATGAACCACGCACTCACGCGTTTTATTCATGTCCCGACCAACACCTATAAACAGAACATAAAACAGTTTCTCTTGATATTCAATGATACATTATATTGGCGTTTTTGCATCAGCACATTGGTGTTGTTGCATCATTGATAATAAACAGAGTGGTGTTGTTGCATCAATAGTGAGGAATTAAAACCGCGAATTTCTCGCTTCTTGATGATGCTACATGCATACCAATGAGAGTTTTTTAAAATATAGATCATGAGCTAACTGCACGTGTATGATTATTGAGCAACTCGTCCTAGAAATGGGTTTAAATTGGGAAAACAAAATATCGTACGAAAATCTATCACCGGAAGTTTGGCCATCTTGATGCAACAACACGGTGTTGTTGCATCACGATACCCCCCAGTGAATACAGAATGCCACAAATATTTGCCTTGGATTGTTGTAAGGATATGAAGCCTCAATCTGGTCTAGTTCTGGATTCTGAACGTTTAAGTTGCGTGCTACTCTCTTCCAATTTCGTCCCATTTGTCCAGCAATTTTCTTTATGTTGTCATCACGCAATGGACCTAAAAGTATCATATTTTGTCATATTAGGATTCTCACATAAACAAAGCAGATTTTTTTTTTATTATTATTTATTTCATTGATATAGTTTAAAATACAATTACAATAGCATCCCTAAATCGCAAGAAGACATTATATAGGAATGGTGAAATGCGGGGGGGGGGGGGAGGGTGGCAGGCAGACGGGGCCCCAGACTGGAGCAGGTATTACAGGACAACATGATACCAGAGAGAGAGACATGAGGGAGGGAATTAACTATTGTCTATAATGAAGTCAACTGTCAGTGAAATGGCTTTTGAGTTTATATCTATGCTTAAGTTAGGGCTTCCTGTTTTCAAAAGGGAGATAACATCATACTGGGGAAGATTGTTATTGAGACAAGGCAGATTCATGTGGTTTCATGATTGACCAGAATCTGCATCAGCAAATACTGCAAAGCCAATCATATCAATGCATATACTGTATATCTCAAAATCCTGTAACAAATGTATTCTGTCCTTTGTTACAAAATGTTACAAAATCTAACTTATTGCAAGATATGAACAGTATATGCATCTAGAATGTCAATGTTTGTCGGAAATGATTTGTATATTGTCTATTATATAATACAGGCCTAATACTTACCTGTTTGCAAAGGGGTCCATCCCAATCCAACTATGGGATGTTTGATGATTGCCTCCAGTTGAGCCACCCTATCAGTGAGCTTATTCACTGCTTCATGTATGTCTAATCTTGCGCTTCCTGGTTTAATTCTTGTGGTTTCTTTTAACTGCTCACGTACCACTTTCTGTCTTTCTTTGATGTCCAACATGACAGCAAGTATATCATCTGGTATCTGGACATCTGAATCCTTTGTTTCAACAACAGTTAATCGTTGTTGGATATCCTCTAGTATTTCTTTTATAGTTCGTTCATCAATGTATCCATCACAACTATATCTCGTAAAATTTTGTGTTGATGATGAAGATGATCTTTGACTGGAGGCACTAGAAGGAGTCAAACTAGTCTTTCTGAAGATGGGCTTAACTCTAGGTGTGGCTAATTCCTCAGCAGCTAATCCATTCCAGTCTTCAACCATTGGATCAGCTTCATTCTCTAACAGTAACGCAACCATGTCTTTCTTATGAAGTAGAGTTGCGGCATGTAGAGGCGTTCGTCCAAATGCCTGTACATTTATATCTGCTCCAGCATCAATCAGAGCTTTAGTAATTTCTGTGTTATTTTCACGACTTGCATAATGAAGTGCCGTTTCCTGATACTGGCTATTCTTGTAATTGATATCGACCCCTGGATGTCCCAGCAAACATTGAACAGTCTCAAAGCTTTGACTTTTTACTGCTAGCTGTAAAGGGGTATAAGGGTCCCTGTTTTCAATATTTAAATCGGCCTCTTTAATCTCAGGATTTTGTAGCATAATTTTCAAAGCATTGGAATTGCCATCCTGACTTGCCAGATGGATGGAAGTATCACAGTTGTTGTCTTTTGTAAGAATATTGGACGGATTATTCTCTAGTAAAAGTTGAAGGCAGTCAGTGCTTTCTTGACATGTGTCTTCATGGACGGATAGATGCATATGTAAAATAGTCTTTTCATCATTGTTCTTCATATCAGTTATGGCTTTGAGATCAAGTAAATACTGTACAATGTTATGATGTTGCCAGTAGGCAGCTAGATGTAATGGTGTGTCCAGCTGTGAATTTGTTAGGTTTATGTCTGCTCCCCAGACTGTAATAAAAAATTGAACTAGATCTATTTTTCCTTCAATTACAGCATTATGAAGGGCGCTTGAGCCATTATTGTCACTGTGCTTCAAAATTGAATTGTCGTACTTCAGTAAATTGTTGGCGGTTTGGGTACGATTGTTTTTACGGAAACAACAGTAATGGAGTACTCCGAGTCCTTCATTGTCATAGCAGTGAATACCTCCGGTGGCTATGAGGTAGTTAATAGTTTGGTGGTCTCCATTCCAAATAGCATAATGAAGAGGTACACATCCTCGTTTGTCCTGGAGATCTTTGATTTTATGCTCTTGGAAGGTATCAAACAGTTTTCTTACGAGATCTGTATAGCCTTGAAATGCCAGCCAGTGTGGAACGAGAGTTTCATTGTTCTTGTGTTGTCCAGGGAGATTTATATACACACCACAGACTTGTTCATAGTCATTGAGCTGAGTTATATACTCCTTTATAGCTCCGTAGTCGTTTTTCAAGAAAACATCCTCCATAGGGGTGAATGTTCTTGGGGCCATTCTGCCTGAAAGATTTCAAAAACATTAAAAATAAATTTGAATTTCATATTCAACAATATATAATGCAGCTATCAGATTTTATTGGCCCGCAAATGTTCTTATTTAACATGAATCAATCATTAGTCAATTATTCTGTACTTGCAAATATCCTTCTTGGCTATATAAGTTAGGTAAAGTGATATAAAAATATTTACGCACCAGCAAAATGGCCATCTGGGTCTCTGTAATTCCCAAATCCTTATTTAGGGGGTTTCCCCTATTATTCATGTAAGGGTGCTTATGTGCATGATAAATATTTTTCCCAAAGATGTTATGCTTAAACATTTTCTTGATGTCAAAGATGCATTTTATTTGTTAATGAAGCAATCATAAGATGCATTAATCAATAGTATAAAGGCATGTGTCGACTTGTATCTATTGTCATACCTTATATTGATTTCTATCTTATAAAAGATCATTTGACATCAAATTCAAATATACTCGGCAAGTTATTAGGTCATTGTGACCATTATTGATTGAAGGGGCCATGGGATCAAGGACATATCAAGGCACCTGATAGGTGTTTTTTTACCGCAAAGTTTAAATAGCACAATAGGCCTAGTTAGATAGTGAATAGAAAAATAAGAATTTTTTTGTTCTCTTTTCACAGACAACGTGCATTCAGATATCATTGCCCCATTACCATTCCAAGGAATCAAATACCCATTTGTAGCAGTCTAATACTATGTATTAAATTGTGCATTGTGAATTCTAAACATATTACAATCTTTCACTAGGGCAGAGCATTTGTACTGAAAGGAGCGTTTTCAGTACAAATATGTACTGAAAAATGTACTAGTTTTGTTTCAGTACAAATTTAAGTATATTTTTGTACTGAAAAATGCACTGAATTTTTTTCAGTATATTTTTCAGTACAAATTCATGTACTGAAAAATATACTGAATTTTAAGTACAAATTTAAGTATAAATATATACTGAAAAATGTACTGAATTTTAAGGACAAATTTAAGTGCAAAAATATACTGAAAAATGCACTGAAAATTTAAGGATCAATTTAAGTACAAATATATACTGAAAAATATACTGAAATTTTAGTGCAAAAGTCAGTATAAAAATGTACTGAAAAATATACTGAAATTTAAGGATAATTTTAAGTATAAATATATGCAATGAGAAATATTTGTGCCCAATAATGGAAATAAGAGAAAACGTAAATGTAAGGCATACTTTATAAACTCTAAATCACTCAAAAAGTTCTTAGAATGGTGAAAAGTGCATGATTTTAAAATAATTTTTGGCCTGGGGGGGGGGGTTCGCTTGGACCCCTGAATCCTCCCCCCCCCAGGAATGCTATTACATTATGAAATTATTTTGGATGCTTCCTTTACAGCAGACTTTAACCAAACTTAAAAGAGTCTCTCTGTAATCAGGTTTGTTTTGCCTTGTCAAAATATTTTGTTTTGTTAATGGATTAATAAAGTTTCTCTAGACACATCCTTTAAAGCAGACTCTAATCAAACTGGAGAGGCTAGGTTTACTGTAATCAAGTGTTTTCCTTTTTATAAGATATGTTTTTGGATTTAATTATTTAAGAAGCATCCTGTAATAATATCTGATTGCATATTCTCCATCGATAAATTTCTTTTTAGACCGATCAAACCTATCAAATATAATGCATATATAAGGGTTATGTACTGGGAGGTTTTGGATACCCATATTTCCTGACGGATAAACCCTTTATTTAAAACTGATCGTACATAACATGTGTATTCCATACCTTTTGAGGTTTCTAGATACATTCTACCTTATTAAGTTCTAAAATTCAAAAACATTAAAGGTACAAATTTTCTCAGTCTTAAAAATAAGTTTTTCATGAGATTTTCACTCATATTGCTTGAGCAAATTAATTAATTGATATCAAAATTAAAATATATAACATGAACATAGAACCTCATTTGTTCGAGTAGAGCAAAATCCATGGTATAGATGTCAAAGTCAGGAAGATGTCGTAATTCAAAATCTAAGTATATTTTTCTGGATAAATTTACACTTAAATATGCCCTTAAATTTCAGTATATTTTTCAGTACATATTTGCACTTAAAATCACACTTAAATTTCAGTATATTTTTAAGTACATATTTGCACTTAAAATCACACTTAAAATTCAGTATATTTTTCAGTATAAATATATACTGAAAAATGTACTTAAAATTTCAGTACATTTTTCAGTATATATTTATACTGAAATTTGCACTGAAATTTTAAGTATATTTTTCAGTACATATTTATACTGAAAAATATACTTAAAAATTCAGTACATTTTTCAGTACATATTTGTACTGAAAACGCTCCTTTCAGTACAAATGCTCTGCCCTAGTGTTTATATATAATATTGTTATCATATATTTTTGATAATTGCTATAATTTGGGGAAGAGGGAGGTGGTAAATTAGATGATTAACCATGGGGTAAATTACTCAGATGCGAGTAGGTAGTTACCAGTTACGCCACCAGGTGGCTGATTCGGGGGAAATAACATGGCAGGGTATTACAAAATTCCCTTAAACTTGAATATTCATCAGTTTTAGCCGTTTACTTTTCATATTACCTGTATGTATGTGATAGTTATATAAATTAAAATATGTCCATTAAAAGAAAATATTATCTGCCCAACACAAGAAAAGATATTTCACTTTTTGTGGTTTTACAGCATGGGGTCTATGGGGAATCTCCCCGACCTAGAAGTCACATTTTCAAAGAAAATTAAATTTTCAAAGCTGATAAACCCTTTTCAAGACCACATTTCTAGATGTAAAATTACATGTAGATTCCAAATATGACATCAGATTGACTGAATTGTGAATTTTTAATGACATAAATCAAGATTATTTCTACTCGCATCTGGGATATTCCCTTCGTGAGTATACTTTGTGAATGTTTTCTTTTAAAACAGTGTTTTTGAGTTAACGTTCCTGCTGTTGCTATCGTGTTTATTATATATTTCAAATTACAGATGTATATATTCTTTGTTTATTGGTTAAGAACATACTCTAGGTATAGGTTCACTTAACTAAGGTGAAATTAAAACTATTACATCATGAATGTTTGGAAAAATGGTAATAACATGGGGAATGTGAATCTCAAATGAACATTGGTATCAATCAAGAGTTTTGATTTTTGTTTCTCCAGGTTGTAAAGATGGAAGTTAATGTCCCAGTTTTGAAGAACTTTGTTGACATGCTCTACCCGACAACCATCGACATGGCAACCAGGAGGAAACATTGTTTGGTATGTTGATAAAATAAGAAATTTTATGTACATTGTAGAAAAAGGTACATAAAGTAAAAATATATTTATCACTATCAAACAAAAGTGTACAAAATGCTAGATTAGGAAAAACTGTATGGTCCAGCTAGGGCATATATTATATGAATATGAATACTTACAAACTTTTTTCATTCCTAGGCACTGTACCCTATGGTAACATGTCTTCTATGTGTGAGTCAGAAAACATTCTTTCTTAACAACTGGCCATACTTCCTGACGATGTGCCTCTCTCAGCTCAGGAATAAAGACACCAAGATGTCCAGGGTTGCCTTGGAATCGCTGTATAGACTTTTGTGGTAGGTCATATTAGAATGATTCAGGAATTTTGAAACTCTCAAGTTAATATTAAAAAGAATATGGAGTGACATTTGTATACCTTTATATGAATACATTTTTATATTTGATTTGCAATTGGTGAAGTCATTTTTGAAAATACTTTTTTTATAAAAATATATTTTTTTAACCTAGGAAGACTTTATGCCCTATAGATATGTACATATTGGTGAAGAGTCAAAATATAGAAATATATAAGGTGACAGCATGAAACATCTGCCTAAATTGGAATAATTTCATTGACATTTTAGCAAGGGTTTTTCAGATACAGAAACTAAAATCTGGGATGAAAATTAAAAAGTTGAACTTAATACATGATGTTTATTATTCCATGGGGGATTGGAGAATGTGCCCATTTTTTTGTAGAACACAAATAAATGTAATTCATATTAAAAAAGCACATCATTCAGAAATAACTAAAGGTTTAGATATTCCAATTATCATGGAATTATGAAATTTAAACACCTGAAAGATATTTTTCAGGGTGTATATGATAAGGATCAAGTGCGAAAGCAACAGTGCCACACAGTCACGTCTCCAGAGCATCGTCAATAGCCTCTTTCCCAAGGGGTCAAAGGTCATCATGCCCCGTGACATGCCATTGAACATTTTCGTGAAAATCATCCAGTTTATAGCGCAGGAGAGACTTGACTTTGCTATGAGGGAGATTGTGTTTGATCTTCTGTGTGTGGGGAGGCAGATAAGAGCTAATTTAACACCTGAGGTAGGTTCATGAATTTAGAAGAACTGAGAGGAATATCAGAGATAAGAGCTAATTTAACACCAGAGGTAGGTTCATGAATTTAGAAGAACTGAGAGGAATATCAGAGATAAGAGCTAATTTAACACCAGAGGTAGGTTCATGAATTTAGAAGAACTGAGAGGAATATCAGAGATAAGAGCCAATTTAACACCAGAGGTAGGTTCATGAATTTAGAAGAACTGAGAGGAATATCAGAGATAAGAGCTAATTTAACACCAGAGGTAGGTTCATGAATTTAGAAGAACTGAGAGGAATATCAGAGATAAGAGCTAATTTAACACCAGAGTTTGGTTCATGAATTAAGAAGAACTGAGAGGAATATCAGAGATAAGAGCTAATTTAACACCAGAGGTAGGTTCATGAATTTAGAAGAACTGAGAGGAATATCAGAGATAAGAGCTAATTTAACACCAGAGTTTGGTTCATGAATTAAGAAGAACTGAGAGGAATTTCAGAGGTATAAGCAAGAACAAAATATATAAAATCTGACACTAAGAGAATTATTGTATACATTTAGATTCATCACATCTAAATACATGTATATGGAAACAAATGAGTACATCTGTGGCACTCAAGCAGTATTTAGAAAGAAAAAAACAAGATCATGTCTCAAATTAATAAATTTCAAATATAACAATAATATATACTATTATATAGAAACATCTGTTAATTTAGCATTAAATATAACCTACTTGTACATACTTACAGAGGATGAGTGTAGGACTACGTTCCTTCTTGGTAGTGGCGGACAGCCTTCAGCAGAAAGATGGGGAGCCCCCTATGCCCCAATCTATTGGCTCTCTCCCCTCAGGATCGACTGTACGCGTCAAGAAGGTCTTCCTTAGCAAAATCCTAACATCCCAGGCAGCCAAGGAGATCGGAATAGCGCCATATTTGCCACATGTGAGAAAAGCATTTGATTCGATACTAAGAGCCCTTGATTTACAAGTTGGGCGCCCCATGTTGGTGAACAAGACGGAGAATATGAATAAAGAACCAGATGAGCTTATCACGTAAGTTTGGAGTTTCAGTTCTTCAGGGAAAAAATCAATAACCTTTTTTATGTTCATTTATTTCAGTCATAGTTTGGTATATCCATTGTTCTCTTTTGATCTGTAACCTTTGATGTCATTACTTGTCACTATGGTAACCACAATGGCTTAGAGTAAGATGAAACTCCAGTTTGACTGCTTGAAGTCCATTTTGTAGTATCCCTATTTATATTATATACCTTATATTTTGTTTGGGACTTTTCTCTTATTTTTCAGCATATTTAAATTGTAAGAACATGAACATATATAGATTTAGAATAAATGTACATTTGACTAATAAAGTACCATTTATGCATATATTTCATCGAAACATTTTCTTTTCTAATTTTTTAGGGGTGAGAGGAAACCTAAGACAGATCTGTTTCGTACATGTGTTGCAGCAATTCCTCGTGTTATTCCCGATGGCATGTCACGTCTTGAACTAGTAGATCTCCTCTCTAGGCTTACTCTACACATGGATGAAGAACTCAAGGGGTATGCTATATAGGGGATTTGATTGGGAGAGAATTGAATGTTTCACTATGCAAAGAGACAATTTAATATACATCACCTCTTTTATATGGGCCAAAGGGCAAGTATATGATATACTTCCTTTCTTTGTTGATTGATTTAAATATCCCATCATGATACACTAAAGTGAGTTGCTTAAAGTCCCCGTCTAAAGTTTGAAAATATTTTTTTATCATTCATTTACTATTTGTCAGGACTTATTAAGTAATTTTAGAGATTTTTGAACAAAAAAAAAATTTTATAAAAAAGTTGTGAGCATTTCATTTCTCAAATATTCAAATTTCCCGCCATTTTTCAAAAAAGTTGAAATTTCTTAATCATCAAATATTTCTTAATGCATTTCAAAAAAGATTACCTTTTTAACACCAATGCAAAGATTGAACAAAGGACACACTATTTCAATAATAAAATGCCATATTTAATGGGCCACTTCAATGTTTTAGCATATCAAAAATATGTTGAAACATTAGTGATGTCACTAAGGTACCAAAAACTTTTTGAAAAAAATTGAAATTTTTTTTTTTCGATGTCAATCTTTTCTTAATATGTTAGACTTTCACAAAAAACCAATGTTGATTGTCTAACCAGATTAAAAGTAAGAATAAATTATGTTTTAGATATCATTGTACCATTGGTTTCTATGAGAACGAAAATTTTGAAATGCATTTTTCTCAGAACCATTTTCATGCACTGATAAGTTCATTTCTCGCTTATTTATGAGCCGATTTTCTTAATTTTTTCGGCAAAAAGCATGGGAGGATGAATGCTATGCATTGGTATGAATTGTGGCTAATTAGAAGATATGAGTGACCTCTAAAAGTTGGTTTTAAATAAATTCACAAATTTTGGAACAAAAAGTCTATCAAAAACCACATTTTGAAATTTAAAAAAAAAGTTTCACATATCACACTTTGATAACATTGGGTAAGACTACAATATAAGCCAAAGTGGTTTAAACTTTATATGGGGCCTTTAAGCAATTCTTTGAGACTGTTTATTATTACTTAATTTATTTTTTGCATATTTTCAGACTTGCGTTACAAGCACTGCAGAATCTTGTCGTAGATTTCTCTGACTGGAGGGATGATGTCATCCATGGTAAGTGTGATGTCATGCAGGGTCATAACATTCCTATGCCAAGCTTTGTAATATGAATGTAATTATCCTTCAATAAATTAAGTTTGGTAGGGATATAGTAAAGCCATCCATCTGTCTGTTAGGAAGTCAGTCAGTATATCTGGGAAAAAATGACTTATGGACAAGTGGGCTGATTTGTTCATTTTCGCCAGTAAGATATACCAGTATAATGATAAATGGTTTTATGCGAACAATATTTACTTCAAAATCACTGTCATTCATGAAATGATTTTTATGAAATGCATCATGAAATGTTACTTTTCTGTCCAAAAAATGGATTTTACTATGAAGATTGAATTTGAACAAATTATTTCCTTAATAACAATTTAAATATTTGAAATGGTATACCATGCATATTTGAAGCACTCTTTAAGAGAAGTTACTCATACACAAAGGGAGAAAAAAGTAAATATTTTCAATGTCTGATCAATATTTCCAAATTCCTAATTTGTTTTTAATTGCCAATACATGTTGTTATTTGCCAAGTGTTTTTACACTTACAAATTGGCGGGAATTTGGAATGAATTTTTGGTGAATTAATATGTCGTTATATTGTTTTTATTTAATTGTTTTGTAGCGCTTCAGTTCAGTTTTTATTCAGTTGAAAAGGGATCCAGACAGGATCCGAAACATCCTGTTAAGCAAAATAAAGGTTGTGAAAAGAAAAAAAATTTTTTTTTTGTTTTTTGTGTTTTTACACATATTTGACTTTATTTCTAGGGTTTATTCAGTTTATAATGAAAGAGATAGGAGACACAATGCCTCAACTGTTAGACAACTCACTCAAGATTCTGCTTCAGTTCTTACAGCAGTGGAAGACGTCAGCCATCAATACATCTGATAAGGTAGGCTCAAGTCAATATTGTTACTGGTTTGAATCCCCCTGTATGGCTTAAAGGGCTTAGAACAGGAATATAACTTGTGAATCCAAGTTCACTTTCATTTCTTGTTTTATTCTATATCATCCATCAATACATCTGTTAATGTATGCTAAAATCAATATTGTGGGAATGATCCATTTCAGGACCAACATGGTGATGTTCAAGAGCTAAGTGCCCATAGACTTCCCTTTGATAAAAGTACCCATGCTAATGTACTCAATGAGGTGGAGGGATTCGCCCTCGTGATGCTATGTAACTGCCGACCTTTGACCCGTAAGCTAGCGGTGCTACTTATGAAAGAAGTTCGGAATCTTTTCAATGTGATTGGTGTCTCAAAAGTGAGTATTTTTCTTTGATTCAATTTGATATTTATTCGAAGACATTTCCTGAGCACAGGGAACACTTTTCCTTGTGACAGAATATGTTCCTTTTAGACAGGTTCCTTATAATGATGTGCTTCTTGGAATAAGTTTTACTGTATATCATTAAATGAACACATTAAAGGTTTTCAAATATTTAGAAATATGGCAATGGGTTGTATCTTTAGGTCATACTATTTCTCAAGAAGATAAAATCAAAATAATTTCTTATTTTGTAAGAATCTCTACGATAAATTAGTTGATACGGTTTTCAAAAATCAAGATCAAAGTTTGTGTGGCAAATAAGATGAATTGTTAAAAACAAATGTTTTCAGATTTAGATGTTTTCAGAATTTCCAGATCCGAGTTATTGTACATTGTTCAATGGGGCTCATTGCCTGTTTCTGACCAAAAAAAACCCACAAATGAAAAAACAAAAAAACAATCCATACCCCCAAACCATTTCCTTTTTAAAATTTAAACCACCACTTAGAAAGCAAATAATAAATCCTAAAATTCCTGACCCTTAAATATCCACAATACAGAATAATCTGTAGCTTAAGTTCCATCAATTCCATTGAAGGTGGAAATGGCAGACTGTTATGATTTTAAAATGTTAAGGTTAGGAATAGGCACAGTGCAACTTTAATATGTCATTCTTAAACTAAATGTTTCTTTTTATCGCACCCTAAGGTGCTATATTGTAATCAGTTTGCCGGGCGGTCGGGCGGGCTGGCGGGCGTCCCAAATAATCTTGTCTACAGGTTTCCAGCCAAACCGTTTGAGGGATTCGTTTGAAATTCTCAGGGATGTTTCTATCTATAAAAGTTTAGAACTGATTAGTTTTACGGCATTCTGGGTAAATGTTAAGGCGGCCATTTTGGATTTTCCGTCCTAAAATCTTGTCTGTCAAGGCTTGCCTACAGGTTTCCAGCCAAACCGTTTGAGGGATTCGTTTGAAATTCTCAGGGATGTTTCTACCTATGAAAGTTTAGAACTGATTAGTTTTTCTGCATTCTGGGTAAATGAAAAAGGCGGCCATTTTGGATTTTCCGTTCTAAAATCTTGTCTGTCAAGGCTTGTCTACAGGTTTCCAGCCAAACCGTTTGAGGGATTCATTTGAAATTCTCAGGGATGTTTCTACCTATGAAAGTTTAGAACTCATTAGTTTTTCGGCATTCTGGGTAAATGTTAAGGCAGCCATTTTGGATTTTCCGTCCTAAAATCTTGTCTTTCAAGGCTTGTCTACAGGTTTCCAGCCAAACCGTTTGAGGGATTCATTTGAAATTCTCAGGGATGTTTCTACCTATGAAAGTTTAGAACTCATTAGTTTTTCGGCATTCTGGGTAAATATTAAGGCGGTCATTTTGGATTTTCCGTCCTAAAATCTTGTCTGTCAAGGCTTGTCTACAGGTTTCCAGCCAAACCGTTTGAGGGATTCATTTGAAATTCTCAGGGATGTTTCTACCTATGAAAGTTTAGAACTGATTAGTTTTTCGGCATTCTGGGTAAATGTTAAGGCGGCCATTTTGGATTTTCCGTCCTAAAATCTTGTCTGTCAAGGCTTGTCTACAGGTTTCAAGCCAAACCGTTTGAGGGATTCATTTGAAATTCTCAGGGATGTTTCTACCTATAAAAGTTTAGAACTGATTAGTTTTTCGGCATTCTGGGTAAATGTTAAGGCGGCCATTTTGGATTTTCCGTCCTAAAATCTTGTCTGTCAAGACTTGTCTACAGGTTTCCAGCCAAACCGTTTGAGGGATTCATTTGAAATTCTCAGGGATGTTTCCACCTATAAAAGTTTAGAACTGACTAGTTTTTCGGCATTCTGGGTAAATGTTAAGGCGGCCATTTTGGATTTTCCGTCCTAAAATCTTGTCTGTCAAGACTTGTCAACAGGTTTCCAGCCAAACAGTTTGAGGGATTCATTTGAAATTCTCAGGGATGTTTGTACCCATGAAAGTTTAGAACTGATTAGTTTTTCAACATTCTGGATAAATGTTAAGACGGCCATTTCTGTTCAAGGGTGTGATATTGTTCACCGTGTGTATTTTTGTATCTTAGGTGGATGACCCCCTCGTCATAGATGTACTAGACAGAGCCTGCCCCAGTATTCTAGAGGGAATCCAAGATAAACTACCAGCTCATGAAAAAGTAAGTGATTTAAAAGATATAATCTAAATTAGAGCATTCAATAACTGCGGTTGATGTCTGTAAAAATGGCAGATGGTAACATTTTACATGTTGATGCCTTGTACATTTCTTACACAAATCTCGGTTTTAAGTTATTGAGTAGTGTTCTGATGCACTGTAAAAGTTTCAGAAATCTCATTTTATGGGAAAGTGTTACTGGGTTAAGACAATTTGTTGATAGTGATAAGGGTCTCACTCGCAAACTTGATATCATGCAGAATCACAAGCTCAAGATAAGATATTTTTTTTGTTCTTCATATAAATTATATTACCCTTTCTTTACATTGCATTCAAGAAAATAAGATAAGAAGGTTCTCTGTATTGTGACCCCTTTAGAACTGAAATACATGTATCTATATTATATACTATAATATAAGTATAATATACTATTATAAGGTAGGACTCTTTGAACTCAACTAAGTGGTCAGAAATCTGATCATTTTTATGGTTTTGATGAATTGTAGGTGTAGACCATTATCGCCACAAACAAACTTTGGGCTAACTCCAAACTTTCCCATGATGGAATTTTCTCAATTTTTTTTTTCAAATTTTTAATTTTAAAAAAGATAATATTTTTAAATTGAAAATATTGCAGTCTTCTTTGATGACATCACTGACTCACATCGATCTCTCGTGGCTCGCAGATAGAACAACTTCATTCTGGGTTTCTGGCTACCATGACAACCAGGAGAACTCTCATGGTGGGATCCATATAAGGAGTGTTGGATCTTTTGATCCTTGGATTGAGTGTTTGAGTGGATTCCTGAGTATGGATCATGCTCTCGGGCATTGTCACACTGCTGTATCTAATGCATGGGCCTGCGTCTACCCAAGACTTACAGAATTGTTTGCCTATGTTGATCCCAAGTAAGAAGAATATTCATAAACATTATTTCATATAGATGTATGAAAATTAGAGAGATACTATGAGAACTTTATGATATACCCTCGTATCATTATTTGTAAAAGTCTCTTGCATAATATTACAAGTATTACATATTTTTGAGGGCTACAATGCAACTTGTGTTTTCCTTTGAAGATTTGTCGTCTTTTTGTTAATTTTGAATATAAACATTTATTACAGCGTAATTTGTCAATTAGTATGCATTATGATTTTTTTCATGACTTGTGTTTCTTTTTTTTTCCAGCAATGCTACTAGTGAAACCCGTGCATCGTTTCTCAGATCGGGAAGTAAAAAGATCACATCAGAAAGAGACCAGTACATCAACTTATGGCACAATTACGTCGTCTTTGCATGCTGCATAGCGCCATCTAGTGTCAACTTTAGTACGAGGTCGTCATCACCAGAACTTTTGAGGTAAGAATCTTAGAAGAATCTTTATAAAAAGGAATTTTTAGAAAAAAGGTTTGTTATGATTCTAAATTAACTGAGTAAGTCAAGTAGTTTGGAAATATTTGATTCTCAAAGGTTGAAATTTGGCTCTTATCAAACTATTGATCTTTTGCTTGTCTTATATTTTTCATTTCATTTTTCATGGGAATAGAAGTTCTGATTTCTGAAATAGAAAGTTGGTCTACTTTCCATTACCTCACAAAAGAGAGATATCTTTATTGAATATATCCTCCATTGAAAGTTATCACATCTCTTTTCAGTAATATTTTTTCTAAATGGAACTCTCATTAAACTGACAAAATATTTTTAACTCATCAAACAATTTATTATCCTCTTAACATATATTTTCATTAACATACTCTTATAAATAATAACACTGTTGAACAATTTTACATTGGCAAATTATTTGCTTTTTAAATCCCACTTGGGTAGCAACACAATAGAATTTGCCTTGGTTTATTTTTAAGAATGTATGGTTTTATCAAAAGGAAAGTGCATTATGTTTCTCTTGTTTTTAAAGAATGTACACTTGGCAAGCTATCAAAAACAAGTGAGACATAAATGACCATTGTCAGTTTTTGATAGTTTTCATTCCCTAAAAACAATATACAAAAATACATGTACCCTTCTCTTGTTACTGTGCATTATTTAGAATAAAACAATTTATCAATTTTTGTTGCTATCTACATCATTGATCTTATCTTACTTACAAATATTCTGCTGTATTCAAATTCAATGTTCTGGATTGGACAGTCACCTGTAGTGCACTGACAGCTAGACTAATTATAGCCAACTCAGTCACTTACATCAACTCACACCATCATGAGGTCAATGCAACCAACTCTTTTTGTTGTTACAATTAATTGGCTATATAACAACAAATTTTAACCAATAAGAGCCAGGGTCATTGTGAGCCTGGTTGAAGTTTGCAAAATTCACAGTTTGAATAGTCAACACAAAAGAAATAAAATTTTCCAGATTAGATCATTGACCATTTACCTGCAATATACCATTTACCTGTAATAAGAATGTGTGTGATTTAAGTAAGATAAAGCATTCGAATTCGATTTGATAAGAAATAATAACCTCAGGCCTTCGGCCTTCGGTGTATTATTTCTTATAAAATCTCGTTCTTATGCTTTATCCAGTACTTAATTCCTTATTCATACTTGTATTCAAATTAGCATTACTTGCTAATTTGAATTAGCATTACTTGCTAATGTGAATACCAATACACATACTTTGATTTACATGAAACATTGTTGGCAAGGAATTTGATTTTCAGTTCCTTATTTATATCAAATTCAAAATAGCATTGGTTCCTAGTAAAGACCAATACAAAATACATAAATATACATTAACCATTTTTGGAGAGGAATTTTGAATTCCTTGTGTGTATCTAATTCACATTAGCATTGTTCACTTATAAAAAGTGATACAAAATATTTAAATTTACATAAGACATTGTTGGCAAGGAATTTACTTTTCAATTCCTTATCTATATCTAATTCGCATTAGCATTGTTTGCTAATAAAGAAAAATACTCGTATAAAATACATAAATATATATCAACCATTTTTGGAGAGGAATTTTGAATTCCTTGTGTGCATCTAATTCACATTATTCACTTATAAAAAATGATATAGAATATTTTAATTTACATATGACATTGTTGGCAGGGAATTTACTTTTCAATTCCTTATCTATATCTAATTCGCATTAGCATTGTTCACTTTTAAAAAATGATACAAAATATTTTAATTTACATAAGACATTGTTGGCAGGGAATTTACTTTTCAATTCCTTATCTACATCTAATTCGCATTAGCATTGTTTGCTAATAAAGACAAAGACTCGTACAAAATACATAAATATACATCAACCATTTTTGGAGAGGAATTTTTAATTTCTTGTGTGTATCTAATTCACATTAGCATTGTTCACTTATAAAAAATGATACAAAATATTTTAATTTACATAAGACATTGTTGGCAGGGAATTTACTTTTCAATTCCTTATCTATATCTAATTCGCATTAGCATTGTTTGCTAATAAAGAAAAATACTCGTACAAAATACATAAATATACATCAACCATTTTTGGAGAGGAATTTTGAATTCCTTGAGTGTATCTAATTCACATTAGCATTTTCACTTATAAAAAATGATACAAAATATATTAATTTACATAAGACATTGTTGGCAAGGAATTTATATCTAATTCACATTAGCATTGCTTGCTAATAAAGAAAAATATATGGACTAACAAACAAAACCAATATTAATTGTGTTTTAATTACATTTAACATTGTTGGAAAGGAATTCCTTCTTTATATTGACATTGGCATTGTTTGTAATGAAGACTAATAAAAATACTTTTATGTACATAAAGTATAGCATGCACCATTGTTGGCAAGGAATTTACTTTTTAATTCCTTATCTATATCTAATTCACATTAGCTATATGGACTAACAAACAAAACCAATATTAATTGTGTTTTAATTACATATAACCTTGAAAGAAAGAAATTCCTTCTTTATATTGACATTGGCATAAAAAAAACTTTTATGTACATAAGGTTAAGCATATACCATTGTTGGCAAGGAATTTTTTAGTTTTTAATTCCTTAGTCTTACCAACATTAGAATAGACATTTCCAATAAATCCTGACCCCTATTTGTGAACCAAGGAAACTATGGTATATTGGCTAGATTGATGATGGTATACTTTACAGGCAGCAATGTTTGTAAACAAAATTGAAAGAAGTTTTGAAAATAGATGGCATGGTTTACAGGACTGGTCTATTGTTTTTAAACAGACACTTGTTTCAGTTATTTACAGTAAAATACACGAACTTGATCTTGAAACTCAGTACACATAATTATATTTACACATTGTCCTGCAACGAGTCCTGTATTGTCAATATATGGCCATTTAAAACACAATATTTAGAGGTTATGTCACTATGATGTGAAATATGCTGGACACATAATCATATTTTTTACACATTGTCCTGCAACTAGTTTTGTCAATATATGGCCATTTAAAACACAATATTTAGAGGTTATGTCACTATGATGTGAAATATGCTGGACACATAATCATATTTTTTACACATTGTCCTGCAACTAGTTTTGTCAATATATGGCCATTTAAAACTCAATATTTAGAGGTTATGTCACTATGATGTGAAATATGCTGGACACATAATCATATTTACACATTGTCCTGCAACTAGTTTTGTCAATATATGGCCATTTAAAACACAATATTTAGAGGTTATGCCACTATGATGTGAAATATGCTGGACACATAATCATATTTACACATTGTCCTGCAACTAGTTTTGTCAATATATGGCCATTTAAAACACAATATTTAGAGGTTATGTCACTATGATGTGAAATATGCTGGACACATAATCATATTTTTTACACATCGTCCTGCAACTAGTTTTGTCAATATATGGCCATTTAAAACACAATATTTAGAGGTTATGTCACTATGATGTGAAATATGCTGGGCACATAATCATATTTACACATTGTCCTGCAACTAGTTTTTTCAATATATGGCCATTTAAAACACTATTTAGAGGTTATGTTATCACTATGATGTGAAATATGCTGGAGTTCTCCTAGTTTAACAAGTTAAACCCGATACCACGGCTTTCATTTATAATCTGAATGTTCATGTTGCCTTGATTGGGTTTAACTTCCGTGCTATGCTTTCATTGGTTGCAAATTCTCACTATCAGTTATTAATAAAACCCGTATGGAATTTCATGTGCTGCAATAGGCCACCATTTCATTTTTTTGCATCAAGGGCCGAATAGGCATGAACATTAAACTTAGGGTGGGCCACAAGATATGTCAGATAAGAAATAAGGCCCGGACTAAGTTTAACTTGTTGAACTAGAGTTCTCCCAATATAGGCAGACCTTGTGTGGCTCTATATTTGGACAAGAGCGAAGGCATATTTCATGTCATAGTGACATGACTGATGTATTGACTGCCATACAAATGCTTTGCTTTACTAATGCACCCATGTAATGTCTGACAAAGTTGCATACATGAAAACATCACAAGGGAAAATGTGATATTTTGATTAAATATTTGCATAAGTAATTAACCAAGTATATTAAGCCATTAAATGCATATCTAAGCCCAAGAATTTTACCCAGGTTTAGCCTGGACATAGGATATATTAGTGTTTTGTAATATGTGAAAATACTCAAGTAATTTGGACTCTGTGAATTATGGCTGATTTTATGCACTTCTCTCGCGCACCTCATGACATAAATTAACCATAAATCTTTGAATCCTAGTCTTAAATCCTCTAGCAAATCTTCATATTTTATTTTCACTTATCTTCACTGTAGTGGAATCAATTGGTGCAAGGCCCCCATAGGGACCTTGCGTTTTCATACTAAAGTTCGTTTTGGAGTTTTTTCTTGTTGTTCTATGTATTTCAAGACATTTAAGAGACAGGGCCCTTTTTCTAAAGCCCTTTTTAGAAAAATAATTGAGATTACAGAGGATACCCATTATTACTGCTTTTTAACACAATGTTAACAGAAAATTCAAATTTCAAACTCCTTATCTCACTATAATTCACCAATGGAGAATGGAAGTTGAGCAACCAAACTTGGCACAAAGTTGGACCCTAAGATAAGCTCTTATCTGAGAGGTTTGATCATATATTTGCCTAGCAACCACATAGCAACCATCTAAAATAACATATTTTAAAATATATATCCACTTAATATATGCTAGGATGCTATAAGACCATTACAAAAAGTCTTCTTATCCTAAAATACAACAATTCAAACATATTTTCAAAAGTGACATCACCATGTCGCACAGCAACAACATGGCAACAGGTTACAATGCCTATTTTGACATTTGCACACTATATTCCTATTATATACTCACTTGTACGCTTTTGGATCCCTTCCACATTAT